CTATAATGAACAAATGTCTAAGTCTGAAAGAGACAGCAGACACAGAGCACCTTCATACTATTCCTTAATCATTTGAGATGCTAGATGTAAACACATTTAACTCTGGCTACTATTAATTTTACAGGTCCTGCAAAGTTTTACCCTGAATACTTGCCTGACCTATATCTGTTGCCTTTTTAACAGTTGGATGTGATCATATTAACTGCTGCCTGTGTTATACAAAAAGTGCCTGTGTTTTTGAAAGCAAGAAGGTATTACTACACATTTTTGTTTATGCAGTTAACACTGATTGAAAATAGAAAAGGAAGAACATACACGGTAGACAAATGCACACATAGGTGTATTATGTTTTTACATAGCAGGTTTGAGTCTTAGTGTGACAATTTAATCTTCTCTCCATTCTGTTCTGGTTGTTTTCAAACACTGTCCTATTTGGCACAGAAACCTCCACTTCTCAGTTGGAAACCAAATATTTTTCTTTCCAGGGCAGACATTCTTCAGTCAAGTTCAACTCAGTGGTCCACAGGGGAGCTGTCTTTGTTGTCCAAGCTATTAAGATACATTTATGAGCCAGCATCGGTAAATAAAGAAAGCAAGCTGCATCTGTCCTGCAGCACTTGAGGTCACCGAGCAATTCCAGAACCGTAAGTTACCAATTTAGTGGAAATTCCCATTCAAATGATTACAGCACATTAGAGCATATCTCATGCCAAATTGTTGGATTCCCAGAAAAAAAAAAGCCATGAATCAGGTTTCTCTGTCTGACATCTCTAGTGTAAATTTACTGTAATTCTGTGAAAATATACAGAAACATTAAGAGAAATTCCCTGAATATGAAACACTGTGTACCTTTTAATGAACTGCAGTTTACAGTGAGCCACTTACATGGTATGAGACTAAAAAGATCCAAGGCCAGATAGAGAATTCATTCAGTGTTTAAAGTAGTGAAGTATAGCCAGGGAGCAGGGGCAAGAAATACTGGGTGGGAGCCATGAGAAGGCATGTAAGTAGAAAATCAATGCATGCTCATGACTAAGCAGCTGGAAAGGTCCCTGACAATTGAGACCAACTGGCTATGAAATGAACAAGGACTTGAGGTCACCTGACACATCTGGGACAATTTGTGTCTGACTTCCTCAGCTCCCAAAAATTAAAGCAGTCCTGTCCAGATTCTTGTTGGGAATGGGTCCTGCCAGGCTCTAAGTCCTAGGCTATGAAGGGCTGATGCTAGCTGAGATAGGCCAAAACTGTGCTAAGTACTATGGTAATAATTAAATGGCATGTGATTTTGTTGTTACAGTCCTGGCATCAGTTTTTCACTGACACTGACTTACCACTGCCTGAAAATGCTGGATACTGTCTCAGAACCCCACTTCGACAACCAGTAGGAAAACATCCTTAGGGAAAAAATGCTGCTTTGGATGAAAGCATAGCCCATTGATGGCTCTGGTAACCAGTCCATAACATCACTTCTTCAAAAATCTCCTGTAGAGGGAGAAAGAAGGAACTCCATGGAGAATCCCCTCAGTCATGAGGAGGACAGCAGGACAATTCAGTTAGGGGGATACTTGTTACTCTTGAATTACTGCTCTGGTTCTATTGTCTCTGAAAAAGTTAATACAGCTCCCTCCTTTTTAGCTTGATAACTATGAAATGGTTTGCGTATTTGATCTTTCCACTTCTTGCAGTTTCAACCCTATTTTCTGAAGCTTAGGTTGACTTTCCAAAGTGCAAGGCTGACATGAGATCCAATATAACACAATGGGGAACTGGTGAACTCCTTTATCCCAAAGTGGAGCAGACATGGATGGAAATCTTCTCACATAAGTCTCTTTATAGAATCCCATGATACTACTACTACATCATGTGTTAACTCATTGCGCTCTGCAATGCTATTTGCAAGGCACCATACTGTGTAAGAAATATGATAGCAGTCATTTTAGCTAAACAAATGTGTAATTGATTATCTGGCCATTGCATGTCACTACACAGAAAATGAATGCATTGCTCTGAGAGCTAACATTTATTCAAGCATAAGACCACATGATTTAAAATACATATATATATGCAATTATCAAATGCCATAATTTATTTTTGTAAATTACCTGTGTTAATTTTAGTTCTAGACAACAATGACAAATTACAGTCCTAATTTCATGGATATGAGATGCATTACATAATGCAAATCTATAGTGTACAGAATCATTAATTATCATCTTCTGGCAGAACTTTCTGTGTTAACTGTGTTTATAAAAGAAGAGACCTACTAAGACATACTATTTCAGGCTTTCCTTCTTCATAAATATTCTTTAGTGCAAATATTTTTAATCTGCATTTATCTTTAGTCTCAAAATGGAAAAATAGGCCAGATATAATTCCAATAGCAAAACGCTGACATCTGTGATAAAAACAAATTATGACTGTTTCTATTTTTACCATGTACTTAATCTGTTGCTATGTTAATTATCAGATAAATATTATTATAAAACTACAACACTGTGTTATCTGTTTTAAGATTATACCTTACACAGACAATTTAGGGGCCACTGTTTTTTTTCTCAACAACAGCTCTCTTGGAAGCTACATGAAGTTCCTCAAGCTTTCAGTCAAATGAAAGTCTCCCATTCTATATACAGTTTAGTGTTCACTGTCAATCACAGAGTACCAGATTTCACTGCTAGCAAAAGTCAACATTAATAGCATCAGAATATAAATACAGCTGTATTTGAACTGAAACATAACCAGGTTTGTGTATACATAAATAATTTTGATTAAATCTATCCTATATTGATCAAAGATGTTCAGTATCACAAGACCATGGGACAGTTTTCTGATCCTGTAAAATGTTTTGGGTTTCTTAGTAGACTTCTTCATTAAATGGCAAAAGACCTTTCAATTTTATAGATGCACAGACAACAGCCTGACAGTGAGAGGAACACAGGATACAGAAGATTCAGGTTCAGTCCCCAAGTCTACCATTCCTTCCTCTCCCAGACCTAGAGATCAATTAGGACATTTTGTATTTGTATATTTTGAATAATTTCTCACCAACAGAGCCATGAAGCTGAGTAGCTGGTATCTCAGATATAATAATCACTGGACTGTCACCACGGTGGTTTCTCTCACACCCAGCTATCTGTGAACTTTGTTAAAATTGAGAAGAGAAAAGCTCAAGCCCAACACCTGCATAAGTAAGAGGAGAATTCTGAGCTTCCTTTGCATCTCCGAGGAAAGTTTCATTAGCACTAGGCTAATTTATTATCCTGATTATCGCTCTTGTTGTCTTTAGTTTTAGTTTTCTGTAAAAGTTATGTCGAAGCACGAGTGTACTTGCAAATGCTTTAATATATAGTATTCTCCAATATACAGGAAAAAGAGAAAAAAAGTTGCTTTGAAGAATTCCCAGTTAGCTGCATTCCCAAGTGTTTTGCGTTAATCTTTAAGAGGAGAGACACATAGGAGATTTGAGATTATAACTGAGTGGAATGCAGGATTTCTAGTTAATGGGGAGAAATATTTTATTTTAAAATTGGGATTAAAAGTGTAGTAATTTCATTACTTTCTTATAAACAATTGACAGTTAATTAACAGCAAGGACTTTTTTCTTAGAATTGCTGATACATCATAAATTATTACTGCACCCTCACATGAAATAGTCTAGTCCTTATGTTGAAGCCCTTAATTTTTATAACTTTTCTGTGATATCAACAAATTTAATGGGCAAAATTCATGGTCACCACACATGGGACTATGAATTTGCATTTCTGAACAAAAATGATAATAATATCCTTAAAGGTAGCTGATGCTAGTCACTAGAGTATAACAAATTCAGTTGTAAGTTAAGCAAACATATTTTTAATTATGTTGCAGATTTGACCAAGGATATATAAAACAGGAATGTTTAGGTGAAGTGAAATATTTGTACAAGTTAGAAACACCACATGAAAAATGTAAATAGAACAGCTGAAGAAGAGCTAATGAGTTCCCCAAATTGGCCATATTTGCGTCAGTGGTATACATCTCTAATAACATTATTACCCTGTACATTAGCTTTCCCAGAAAGATCACTTCATTTTATCTTAGAGCAATGCAGCTACAATACTACTACCATCTTGAATACATCTAGCAGTAATAGTTTCCTTTTTTTCTTTCTCCAAATTTTGTCTAACATAAGCACAGGGTGGTTTTAGAAAAGGGGCAGGCTTGCACTTTGTGCTCAATTGCAGTAGGTCATCTCCCTTGGTAAGAAGTTAAAGCCTTTGCAGTCTGTCACAAAGATGTGTCCTCTCTTACAACTCATCTGAGACTGAACTCCAGATTCTTGGATGTCCTAATTTCTGCACAGCTCGTGTTTAATGATCATGGAGGAGGTGATTTCTGTGTTGTCCTCACAGACCTGATAACATGCCCAGGAGCAGTGAAGATTCATGCCTGCCCTCAAAGTCTATGTCCTTTCCTGCAGCAGCTGTACTCCCTCAGTCAATCATAATGTCACTATCTTGGCAAGTTTCTCAGAGTTTTTCCTTCCCCTGTTGCTACTCTTACCTTCTTTGAATTTGCTCCAGGGACAGAGAAGGCCACAAGTACATGAATTTGGGAAGAAGGCAATAACTGCACTGTCACCACCTAAATTTCATCTTTTTTCTTTTTTTTTTTAACCTGCTCTGTCTGCAGGGCCGAATTCTCAGAGGACATGTCTTTTGAGCAGTATGGGAGATAGATGTGTCAGCCCATGCTCTTCTATGCTATTAATGTAATAGCAGCCACTTATATCATTTCTTGGTGAAAAAGTTACCAGTTATGGACCTCTTCCAGCCACAAGAATTTGCTGATCTCATGGGAAAAGGTATGAGTGTAAATCTGACAGTCATAAAAAGGTAGGATACATCCTTCATTATAGATAATCAGTTACAGGCATTTCAAAATTAAACTTTTATTAGAACTGTTTAAATATTCAATAAAGTGTGATTTTTAAACTTTATTCACATGCATGCCATGTAATCTAGCATTAAGGATTTTAATAAATAAAAATCAAGCAAATAAAACCAGATATTCTTTGAACAGCAGAACTTAAACTGGTGCCTTGTGCATTTGTGGCTTATACCAGTGCCTTATAAGTCACATTCAACGACTGAAGCTTTTTCTGCGTTTGGGTCACTCTCGTGACATTGCTCTCCTGTAGATTTTCTTGAGCCTAATAGGGTAGCAGGTCCACACTACAACATTTTCCTCAATGAAAGGAAGAACAAGAAAATATACTGGGGACTACCCAGCATTTAAGGCATATACAATCTCTTAGAAGGACTATTTTTCTTTCAGATTGGTTGATTAGTCAATTAATTCCAAAGAGACAAGGCAGAGAGAAAGAACAAAGTGTGCACACAGACACACAGAATGCCTACGTAAGCTTTATTTCTTAAGGAAGTCAGGATAAAAACATCTCAGTGATTAATACACAAACAGTGATCACTCATATCCTGCAGACTTTCAGGAAATAACTGAAATCTGCAAGTAAATTTAACTGAGTCTGCAGCAGACAAAATTAACTAAAAGATGGAGACGTAATTGCCTGAGTCTGTACACAAAGTCAAGCTGAAAGATAAATGGCAGATCCATCTTCCTGTTGACTGTTGAAGTAAATTAATTATCTGAGGTCATGGATTTGTTTCCAGAAATAAGAATGCGAATCCGAAGAATTTGAAAGAGTTTGTAATAAGTAGAAAATCTCAGCAGATAACCATGCAGCCACAATACTGCTGGGCCAAATTTGCCCTTTTGAGGATCATTTCACAGAAGTGTGAAGTTTCTGCATAGTGCTGTACTAGACAAGGGTAACATTATTTATTTGATAGCCTCATCCTGCTTCTTCCTAGGATCTGGCTTCGAACAGAGTTTCCCATTACATGAAGTTGATTGTCCAGAACAAATACGATCATGCTGTAACTCTTACATGGCACTCAGTCTCAAGACAGTTTAGTTATTTAACAAATGTCCTCCAACAGCCATGGTGTGCAGTACAACAGGAATGACAGTTATTTCCTGCAGTGAGTATGCGGCTGTGGGTGATGTCCCTGTATTGGTAGCAGTGGAATATGGGCAATGATGGGCTCCGTGGCAGCTGGGAGGGACAGCTGGACTGTGAGACAGAGAGAACTGAAGAGAATGGAAAAACAACAGCACCAGAAGAAAAACAGCATGTAACAAACAGGAAAAGGAAGAATGATAATAAAATAAGTGAGGAGACCAACAGGCCTGATACTGGCTTTGGCAGACAAAACAGCTCTGAATACTGCCACAACAACGTATCCTTGCAGAAGTGCACCGTGGTGAATGGATTCTGGCCCACCAGCCAGGACTTCTGCAGCAATGCACTGGCAGGTGCCAAAGAAAAGCAAACACACTGCCCAGGCTGGTAGCTGTATCCTGGCACTGTTGCACGCTTGTCTGGTTCTGTTCAGTTGTCACTGTATCCTAAAGTTCTGTGCAAACAGGCAAGTTGTCAGTAACAAATGGGTTTGGCTTTCCACGCTCTCTGTCAGCAATTTGTGTGTAAAGGCTGGGAGGCTTTCTTGTGAGAAGAGAGCACATGAACCTAGCAGCAGGAGCTGAGACCTGGAGAGTCAGCCAGGGATGGGCTGGCAAGCTCTTTGCCAATTCTTTCAAATCAAACCACTAGCAATCAGTTCTTGAAAACAAAGGAAAGAAACAAACCGCAGGGATTACAGAATTGAAAACACTGGATTAGACAACAATTACAAAGAAAGTATTGAAGAAACTATACAGTGAGACCCCAGAAGGATACAAAAAGCCCTTGAAAACATGTACAAGATAGGATGGATCTGGAAGAAACTAGGAAAGGGAAAGACCAACTCATTGACAGCAGGTGGAATATAAAAGTGGAAAAGATGGAGTTCAGAGATTTGGAAGACAAATCACAAAGTAAGTAGAGAGAGGAGAAATTATAATACCTGAAAATGGATATTAGAGAGACTTGGAGAGAAAATAGGGAAGTGGGAGAAGATTTAACACTCTTTACACTGTCTGAGACGTACATCAGAACATACAACCACGTTATTAATCAGTTTTTTCCCTGACAGTTGAAAAGTAATGAAGCCTATGCAAGCAATTAGCTTTAGGTAGATCACAGGACAACTGTAATATTTCCTTATACAATCACTCTGTCACAGGTGATGATATGTTATTTATGTGAAACATTTATGGGAGATACGCCATCAACACTAATAATGTTATATTAGCAGGAAAAGAAAAAGCAACTCCAGTAGCCACCCTTCCTTTCTCTGTGCTAAGCAGTTCTGTTGCTGTAAGGAAGTTTTCTAAGCAATATCCACTGCAATTTAAAAATTGAATTTATTTTTATCTCGAGTTTACAGATGGTATTTAGTTCTTTTTAAACTGTATTTGCATCCCCTCAAAATACTATCATTAATCGATGTTTCTTTGTTAGGAGCTGTTCTAATACACTGCTCTAAAAGTTAGATTAATCAATAGAGTTAATTCTTTTCATCTGTACTCACCATGAAGCTTTCAGCTCTAAGAACAGCCCCAAGAACAGCCCCTTTCGTATGGCTGGAGTGGCTGATCACTGCTAAAAAAGCTGAGTTTAAACTGAGCTACATCACTCTGCTGTGATGAGCAGCACTCATACACACTATCCTACTGAATTTAGCATGGTTACTCATTTAACTATGCAGTACGAGTTAACATTGGCAGAAATGGAAAATGTTACATTTTTCTACTTGTTAAAAAATAAATAAATACCAATGAAGACTACAGGAGACTACAGAGAGAGAAATTAAGTACGTGTTTGACTCTACTCAGATACTGGGCAAACTTAATAGTATTTTCACTTGTATTCAACTGCGTAATTCCCTCTGATCCCTTGTTTTAAAACACTACAATGAAGAGTTAACAAACAATCTTTCAATTTTTTATAGGTCTCTCACATGTAACAATGAACCATGAACCATCAACAGGAGCACTCAGGTGCCAGCCCCACTGGAATTTTGTCAGCCATTCTGTTGGCAAGCCTAAATCTCATTTTCCCCTTCCACTAACGTTATCAGGGCACACACTGCTACTAAAGGGAATGACTGAGACACAGTCGCAAGAGTGGTGGTTTTTAGACCCAGGCAGCACAACTCACAGGAGTTAGATGAAAATATCCCTGCACCATAGCCCTCAGGAATGATTTTAATGGTTATTCCCAAAGCTTGACAAGATGAGCATGTGGCAAAGCCAGGCATGAAAACCGGGGCATACAAACAGTCACAAGGGTGAGTCTAGTACTAAACGTGGAGGTTGGTGGCAATGCCTGTGGTGGGGGGTTGGAGCTTCGCAATCCTTGAGGTCACTTCCAACCCGGGCCATTCTGTGATTCTCTGACAAGGTCCCAACTCCCTGGTCGTCCCAAGGACTCCTGTCACAAAGCAAATGCAGGTTTTTACTTGGACAAGGTTTAAGCACACACGTCCTTTTCTTGCTCATATGCATGAGACAGATGACAACACGTAAACAAGAACGTGTGGAAATCCACTCTGTTCTGCTACAGCAGCTCCCGCACTCCCTCTGCCCACACCTGACACGGCGTGGTCCACAGAAATTCCCCCTCCCAGCGGAAAATTTGCTGAAAATCGAATTGTAAGCAGGCCTCCAAAAAAGCAATCATCACCTTCTTCTATGCACTCGTCCATAACTAAACCAACAGAACAATTCTAAAGCAGTAATGAAATGAAGTACTTCAGGAATTCAAAGCACATGAAAACCTTCAGCCCTCAACATTTTAAAACCAACTACAGTAAGCACTGTAAGCAGACTGCAGTCAATACTACGTGCCTGCAATGCATTCTCTACTCTTAGCAATAGTTCTGAGCCAAACGAAACTGAAGTCGGACTGTCGCCTGCTGCCTGCATCGCTGTGCGCGCTACACGGCGGCTGTCCTCACGGCGTGTCACACACCACAAGGCATAACAGCTGCACATTAACTCCTTTCGTGGCATTTCTTTTCTATTTTACTTTTTCTACGCAACTCTGCCCATATCTCACCCCTCACAACGCCAGAGCAGCGCCGGGACGGGACGGGACGGGACACACCGCCCGCCCGGTCCCGCCCCCGCCGCAGGAGGCGCACGGCGGCACGCGTAGCTCCCCGGCCGGCCCCCGCGGAACTCCATTTCCCGTGATGCCGCGAGAGCAGCGCGAGCCGCGGTCGCGTCACGGGCGCGGGCAGCCAATCGCGGCGCGGCCGAGGCGGGCGCCGTCAGCCGCCAATGTTGTTTTCGCTGAGTCGAGCCGCCGGTGTTGTTGGCGGCGGCGCCATATTGGAAGGGACGAGCCCGCGTTAGCGAGAAGCCCCTTGGCGCTGGCCCGGCCGCCGCCATGCTGTATCTGGAGGACTATCTGGAGAGTGAGTGTGTGCGGGACGGGGACGCCGGGCGGCCGGGCACGGCCGGCGGAGGGGAGCCGGGGAGAGGGCGCGGCGACGTGGCGGCGCCCCCTCCCCCACGGCGGTGAGCGACTCACACCCCCCCCTCTCTCCCCCGCCCCTCCCTCCGTGTGCCCGCAGTGATCGAGCAGCTTCCCATGGATCTGCGCGACAGGTTCACCGAGATGCGCGAGATGGACCTGCAGGTGCAGAGTACGTGAGTCCCGCCCCCTCCTCTGCCCGCCCCCTCCCCTCCGCCTCCCGCCGCTGCCCTCCGCCTCCCGCTCCCTCGCCCGCCCCGCCAGCAGGGGGCGCTCGCGCCCCGCCTCTCCCGGCGCCCCGCCGCGGGGCAGGAAGGCGGCCGGCGGCCGGCGGCGCAGGGAACGGGGAGCGGAGCGCCGCCGCCGAAGGCGCTCCGATTTCCGCGGGCCCCGCCGCTCCCCGCGGCTCCCCGGCGCCCGGCCCGGGCCGCTCGCGCCCCGCCGCCACCCCGCGCTCCGGCAGCTCCTCTCCGCTCCACCGCGGGGAACGGCGTCCCGACGCCCCGTCCCGGCTGCCGGCCGCCCGGCGTCCTCTCCGGCTTGGCGGCGGCGGGAGGCGGCGCTGCGGAGGCCCGGCCCGCGGCGGGGAGCTGCCGGCACGCAGCGAGGGGCGGGGCGCGCTCGCCTCGTGCACTGACAGTGAGCGGCGCCCCGGCCCCGTCCGCGCGGCGCTGGTCGGCTGCTGCGCTTGTGCTGCTCCCTGGAGCCTTACGGGTGGCACGTCCCGAGCTCTCCCGGTTTTTGGTCCCTCAGAGCAGTGATGGTGGTTTGGATCAGGAGCTGCACCCCACTCTTTCAGCAGATCATGCTGGTTCTGAGACCTTCCAGCCACTTCCCCTCACCACAGCGAACAAGAATGAGATTTTTGCCTGTGCTCTTATGCTTTAGTTGACACTTAACCACATACACGTTTCCTTCGTTTTGTATGAGCTTAGCACCTGCAGCTGTTTCCAGGATGCATTCCCCTTTGATCCTCTGCAGCAATCCCCTCTGGGACTCATGTCCCATAGCACCCAGTGAGGTGTTGCTGTGTTAACACGCAATAAATGTGTTCATCTGTATGTGAGGGGCAACGGTCTTTGTTAACGTAACATAGACAAGAGATGAGAGGATTCCTCAGTGCCAGAGGGGTTGGAGTATCTCAAAGAAGGATGAGAGAAAGACCAAATGTTGAAGTAACAGCTAAGATGTTATACAGTAATATAAAAGTCTACACCATGCTTTTGGTATCTTACTGTGTAGGAGTGCAGCTCTGGGTCTTATCAGCCTGGAGAAGAAGACAGAGGATCTCATCGCTGTTGATAAATATCTGAAATGCAGGAGTCAAATGGATGGGGTGGGCTCTTTTCAGTGGTACCCAGTAACAGGACAAGGGGCAACAGGTGCAGACAGGAACACAGAAAGTTCCATACAAACATGAGGAAAACTTCATTGCTGTGAGGGTGATAGCGTTGGAACAGGCTGCCCAGAGGTTGTAGAGATGCTCAAGACTCACCAGGATGCTTACCTTTGTAACCTGCTTTAGCAAGGGATTGGACTGGCTAATCTCAGGGCTTCCTTCCAAACCCTGTGATTTCTTTCAACCAATAGTTTAACTATAATAGTTTGAAGTGAGACTTCAGACTTTCTCTTGGGTATTTATTAGTGCCAGCCAGTGCTGCCAAGGTTGCAGTGGTGTCATTTCCTTTGCTTTAACTGGAAGTTGTGAAAAACACTGAATATTTGTATACAAACACCAACCTTGTGCCCAGAGTAAGGTTTCTGGTTCTTTGAGGATTCTTACAATGAGTGACAAGGCATCCTAATGCATTATGAAACTTCTGGACTCACATCTCTTCAGCTGTCAGTTTGATAGCTCATGCTGAATACTTCATGTGAACCCATGAGCTGTTATGATGCTGTGACCCAGGAGTTGATGTGAGGGATCAGTGTCTCTGACCTGTATCAGAACAGTGTTCTGGCAGGTGCTACTGGCCCAGAAACCTGTACAAGACTTCATTTAGAGATAACACAGATGTTGTCTTTTAGAGTTAGAGGTTTGGATGATTCAGTCTTCAAATGGGGCAGGTTTCATCGTCATCTTCATCTTCATCATCATCTTCATCATCATAAGATAAATCAGCAGACAGGTATATGCTATGTGCCTTGGTAAGGTTCTTGTGGGAAAAGTGAAGAACATCAGAGTTGAAAGTCAGTCATGAGTTCTGAGACGTTTGCATGTGGAGTACAGAATGTTTTCCATCTATGTAGGTTCAAATCATGGATTACCAGCCAAGCTCTAGAAAAAAAATCCTGTCCTCTAATAGAATTTCTGTCAGCTCTCTTCGAAAATCTGTTCTAAAAAATTAGCATGTCCGAATGAAGTAGCACAGATGAAAGAGAGGTGAGAGGGGAGAGAAGCTAAGGAGGGTATACTATGGAGGACCTTCCATGTGATGTAGTAGAGCTGCCCTGCATTTCTGCTTGCCAGTTCTTCTCTTTCAGGAGACACCAAGTTTCTGTGGAAGTTTTCACTTAAGCAGTTTTACATAGACTGATATCTGTTCTCAATTAAAAAAAAAAAGACTTTTATAATTATTTTTATTCCTCAGTCTATGGAGCTGTATAATAATAATCTCTCAGTTGTTTTCAGGCTGGAAATAGGAGGTAGAACCTTTTGTCCTTTAGCTTTATCGACGAAATTATAGTCATTTGATGGAAGAACAAACCTTTTGGAAGCTTCACTTGTTGCTCAGTCACTGTCCTCCCTAAGCATAACGCAGTGCAAATGGAAAATGTTCATTTGACTGCTTTGTCTGTCTGGATCTGAGTCATCTTGATTTGAGCCTTGGCAACGACTATTTTGGCTTGGGATAAATTCTTATCATTCCTGTCTAAAGTTGTTAGTTTCCTGTTGGGTTTGATTCTGGAGATTACCTGCACAGGTAGCATCAAAAATTCTTTGCTCACTTATTATGCTTGATTTTTCATCATTTGCATGAGCAACTCGTTCTGATTGTTCTTGAGGATTTGTAATATGAAAAGACTTCAGGATCTGTTGGATCTGAGGAATTAACTATACTTGCAGATTCATTGGTTTCTTGAGCTAGATACTTGGTTTCTTTACCTCACCCTCACCTGGCACAGTTTTAGTGCTGGCTTCTGAAAAGCATGTTTATTGTTTTACACTGAGAGCCCAAAGTCTGTAGGTAGGTGGTGCATTGTCATGTTTAACTTGAAAGTTGTCTGGGTTGTATTGCTGAAAGTTCTGTTTAAAACATAATAATAATTGCAGTACTGTCCCTTATCTTGAGACTAGCAAGCTGTCAGGGTTAGTTTGACTGAAGCAGCTGTTTGGTTTTGGACGTATGCAAGTTGTTGCATGTACGAATGTCCAGCTGTTGAAATATTAAACTTGATGCTTTTTATAAAGGATGGTGGAAGGAAAGGAAAGTAAATCCCTCTTCCTGCTTCAATAAATAAACAGACAAGTAACTTGTGGTTTACATTTTCCTTTCTTAAAATATGTTGAGTAATTGTTTTACTTTTTCCCCATGATATATTTCTCAGCTGCATGTAAGAAAGAATCCTGTCCATGGTATCCCATTAGAGCATTTACCTCTTTGTTCTACAACATGGGAGTTAGGGGGTGGGAATAAACTTGTGGGTGTTTTAAATTGCTCTTGTTCTTCCTAGCATACTGTGGAAGGGCCTTGAATTAAGGGACTCTTCAGTTGCTCTTCTCTTTTGAGACACTAATTTTTCCAATTATTTGTTTTTGTATTTGACTCTTTCTCTTAGAGAACATTTTGTTACCTGCTCAGTTTGTAACTGGTTAGAATGTTCCAAAGTCAGCAGTCTAGAGCCCTGGGTGAGGAGTTTGGGTCGTGCCTTAAGTCACCACCACTGCTCTTAGGGGCAAAAAATCTTTAAAACTTGGAGTTCTGCCTTTCCCATGTGGAGAGCATAAGAAACTTGATGAGAATCCTACCAGAATGCAATTCTACTTATTGGAAATTTACCCAGGTAAATATTTCCCTCCTCTGTCTGCTGTCACTTGTTTCGTTCTTCTTATTTACTTACTTGTTTTTGCTACAATAATTTACACCTCAGTCCTGTCAACTTCATTTCAGAAAAAAATTCCACCTTGTTTTGTAATGTTTATGTATGTGAGAAGATAATATTTGTCTTAATATTTCCCCGTGCAGATGCAATGGATCAGCTCGAGCAGAGGGTCAATGAATTTTTTATGAACGCAAAGAAAAACAAACCTGAATGGAGAGAAGAACAGATGACATCAATCAAAAAAGTAAGGATATCACAGGAGTGGGCTGCATTTGTATTTTTAAAAGAAGATAACCTAAGGAAAAAACAGTTTATAATTGAGTGAAGTCTTAAGTGTTCAGAACTGTGACTTCCTCTGGGTTTTCACAGAGATGCATTGAACTCCTTAGAGGAGAAAAATGACTGGAAAGTTTCTTTGATAAAGCATTTCTTTTAAGTTTTGCCGAGTATTTGCTACTATTATTAAATTTTTTAAAAAGTGAATATTGGAGTGATGAAACCAGGTACTAGAATTTCAACTTGGATATTTTCTTCCTGCTTGTAGGACTTGAAGCTTTGTAAGTTAATTGGCATTCCTTTAAAGGATGTTTTTCCATCTTAACTTCAACATCCCCTCTGATTCTGCGTCTGTCTTTGTATATAGTATTTGTATGGCATGTGTACCATTAGAGAGAGAAGACTAAGAAGATGGCTGTGTTTTCTGTTTTGTTTCATCATTTGACACTTGGCATTGTTGGTATTGTTAGCAGGGTAGTCCATCATTTTGTCAGGAGAAAAATCCTTTCTAGTCCTCCTACACTTGTAACTTCAGCCTCTTAGACAACCAGGGTTTATTCTTTCCTTAAAACAAATAAATTATCTTTAAAAAAAACCACCAAAATCAACAAAACACAATGAAAGTCAAAACTTTGACTTCACTGGAGTAAATTAAAAAAAAAGAAAAAAAATTAATGGGATTAAGATCTGAGTTTTCACCTGAGCTAGGTACTTTTCAGTGGAAACTGGAATAAAAAGGCTCTTAAACTTGTTTGAACCTACAGATAAATATGCTTACACTAACTTTAAAAGGGGACTTATCTATAGTTTTTCATTATTTAGAGCAGATTTTAAAATTGTATCTTTAGTAAGTTTATTTTATAATAGTTTATTAAAGTATTTTTAAAATTCACTAATTTAAATTACATAGTTCATTTTCTATATATTTAACTACAGTGCTGAAAAGACTTCTGATCACAATAGCATAATTTGAAGGACAATGGTTTCTTCAATGGTCTTAAAGATCCGTATTAAGTAAAAGACATCATTTCATGCTGAGTCTGTAATGCTGCATAGTATAAAATACATCGAAAGCTACTTCTTTTCTTGCAGTGAACCGTATTGTGACATGTGTCACTGTAGGAGGAAGTGTCCATGTCTTGTAGTTTTGCTTTTTCTAAGCAATAAATAGCTGATATAGCTCTCATCTAACATTTAGCTTACTGCTGTGTACAACAGTTTCACAGTCTTTCTGAAAACTGATTTCAGTTTCTACTTTTAATGTACATTTTGTGCTAGGTTAAAATAGCTTAAAACAGCTGAAATTAATTCAATTACATTTGTGACTTAAAAGCATTCTCTTTATACTAGGATTATTACAAGGCTTTGGAAGATGCAGATGAGAAAGTACAGCTGGCTAATCAAATATATGATTTGGTAAGTAGACAAAAGGCTTGTAGTGCATTACCTAAATTTATGTCTTCAGGAGTTCAGAACATTTTGATAAGTGCTATAGTTGTGTTACTTGTGTTCTTACATCAGCTTCAAACAGATTTTTTTTTCTTTTAGAAAGAGACACTTAATGTTTTACTGACTCCTAGGAATTTTGTTGCTTATATACTGTTGTAAAATATAAAGAAATAATTTGAGAAATCGTGAGGTTTTAATGTATTCTCTTTCTGGTTGTATTTGGTTATGAAAAGGGACCACATGCAATCTGTTCCACCTTGTAACGTATGCATTTTGAGTTTTAACTATATTTATTTTACTCTCTCTCAGAGAACAAAAGTTGCAAGTTATTGCTCTAAAATATAGTAGACATAAAACAAATATTATTTGTTTGTGTTGATTCTCCTTCCATCTACTAGTGAATATTGGAAGATTCCCTCTCTCTCAGTGCAAAACTTTTTCATTTTGCAGTAGTTGAAAGATAAGTACATTATTCTACTGCATGACTACAGATGAAGAAAGCATTTTGAACACAGTGATTCTTTATTCATTTTTTTTTCTTTTGTGAATTTTTGGTACACCAGAGTATTTCATACTTTATTCAAAAGCACGTCAGTCTTTCCATGTTCAGTACAGACACCATTCTTTCTATGCATGTTGGCAGATGTACAAGTATTGAACTACAAGAAATTTGTAATTTCTTCATATAGCATAACCACTTTTACAGGGCTTTTCATGTACTGTTCTTTCTCTTCCAGTTTCTATACCCATACTCACAACAACCCTAAATGCTATTAGCCCCTTTTCTCATAGAAAACACCTAGCATTTTGTTTTGGAACACCGCCTGTAATGAGAGGGGTTCTGGCTGCTGAGCCAATATGCAGCTTTGGTGAATCCTGTATTCGCTGGACAGCTGAGGAGCAGCAGCCCATTTTAGTGCTAATTCTAGTATTTCTGCTGAGTGGGAAGTGTAGGAGGCCAAGAAGTTGTGATTCTTTGTGTTCTTATACATGCTTAATTCTGAATGGTGGAAAACTGCTGGAAGAGTAATTCTTAGCAGACCAGATAAAAAGGTGTAGCTCGTGCTTGTCCAACATTTGGCTTCTCTGGGCTGCATTCAGCAAACAGAAATTGCCACAGGCCACATATAAAATATATAATAAATGTAATGCTTATAAGTAACAAAACTTCTTTTAACGTATTTTTATTAAAACCTAAAAAACAGGGAGCAACAAAAGCATAAAACTGATATGATGTTTGACCTTGTTTTTGTGAAACTTATGCATCAGGCTGGTTCTATGGCAGTGGTTGCCACTCTTAGTGAGTTCTCACGGTATTCATCTGAGATTTTTGATGAAATATTTCTCTTCCTGTGCTTCGTCCTTGACAATAATTGTTCACAAATGTATATACTGTCAAAAACTGATGACATGAATAAATGTGAGTGAAGTGAGGGGTATTTTTCTCTGGAAGGAGGGCTTATGAAAGTCTGGCAAAGAGACATGACAGAATTTTTCTTTGAGTTGAATCCTGATTGCAACTCTATACATTCCATATGAAGTTTGCAAGTAATGGATTTCTGTTGACTGAAAATGGAGTTGCAAATATATAAAAAAACGATTTTTTTTTTTTGAAATATTGAAACCTATTCTCAAATTTCTTTATCAAAATGGAAAGCACAGCTGCATATTTTTCACTCTTTACAGGACAGTGTTCAGCCAATGGATCAAAATATAACTACTTTCCGTTACTTCAGCTTGCCATAATTTAACTTTCATTTCTAATGCTGTTAATGTCTGAAGCACAGAAAAGTGATTTTTCACCTTAAGGAAGCATGTTTAACTCTTTTAAATGAATGATCAAATCCTCCAAAAAATCTGTGAGCCATTTTTAATCTTTGTGTTCTGGCACAAGTTTTCCTTTTGATTCTGTACAGAACTTGATTTCACTTTGCAGACTGTTTTTAGCATTTTACCCTGACTTAGCCATCAAGAAGATACATGATGACCCCATAAATGCATCCATACTTTTAAAGACCTTGTAGAATTGGTGATGATTCAGTCCCTTGGACTTGCTGAAATTCACAGCTTTGATGATTTGTACGACATCCAGTTTTGAAGCTTTTGCACGTATATTTTCTTGATGTCTGATGCAGTGAGATACAGATGGTAACTGAATCATCTTTTATTAGTTTTATAAGTCCATCTTTTTTTACCAGCCATCACTTGGTCACCATCAGTAGCTATATTAGATATGTTGACAGAGGTTAAAGAAAACCGCTTTAATGTATTTTTTTACTGATTGAAATAAATCAGGAGGTTTAGCTGTGTCTTTCAAGGGTGCCAAAGAAGTCATTTCTTCAATGACAATATATTTGTTATCAATGCTCTAGTGAAAATGGCAAGTAGAGCTATGTTGTCTGTAGTATTAATATTTTCATCTATCACCAAAGCATAAAATTTGAGATCAGCTTTACTTTCCAGATTTTTCTTCATATACTTTCTAATTTTTTTTCAATTCAGCTAACTGCAGTCTAGTGGGACAAATTGGAGAGGAAAAAAAAAAAAAAAATTATTAATCAGGACACACAAACTCACCATCAGGAAGTGGTTTTGATTTTTTTTTGCAGTAAGATGTGCTATCATGTAACTAGCTTTTAGAATGGAGTCATAGAATCATACAGGTTGGAAAAGACCTCTAAGATCATCTAGTCCAGCAGCCCACCTACCATCAATATTGCCCACTTAACAAGGTTCTTTATTACCATTCAAGTTTTAACTTTTTTTTTTAAGTATTTTTGTTGAGGTGACAGACTTTTTTAGTTCTGCTGTTTTGTCTTTGCAAAGCGTTCCTTAATATGCATCAAATTTGGCAGCATGTTTCTGCATAGAATGTCTCCTCAAATCGTAATCTTTGAAAAGTGGCGTGATTTGTTTGCAAATTAAGCATAGTGCCATATTATTTATCAGCACTGCAATGTGAGCTGAGTTGGGTCACATGCATCCTGTGGGTAGGACGTGCCTGGTGTAGTTATTCATGTTCCAGAACTGGACGCTATTTACTGTTGCATTGTCTCCAAAACAGGTAGATCGTCATTTGAGAAAACTGGATCAGGAACTTGCTAAATTTAAAATGGAACTTGAAGCAGACAATGCTGGAATCACAGAAATATTAGAGAGACGTAAGTATGCATAATTTTCTTAAAATACTTGCCAGATTTTCTGTCACTTTACAAAAGTGAGACACGATGAAGTTGTTATTGGTCTACTGTGTTTCCACTCATTTTCCAATTTTGCTTCGACCTACATACCTTTTATCAGTCAGTGATTCTCAAATTTTTGTTCAAACTTGATTTTTACCAGTGGAATCCAAATGCACCTGAGAAATTAGAATGACTTCTCTATTTAATAGGGCTGTTGTACATGTGAATAAGTAAACTAACGTACAGAATTATTTAATACTGTTATTAATACTATAGGCATTCAGGAAAGTATTGCAATCTATGCTTAACCTACTGGGCCAGTTGACTGCCACCAAATAGAGGAGAGTGGATATTCCAATTACCAGCACGGAATGTCAAGTAAAGATTCCCTACTTTGTGGATGTCTTTTTTTAAAGAGAAGAGAATGGATGATTTTATTAAGAGGTGGTGGGAGAGGAGCATTTGAGGAAGAAACCTGCAAGCTCAACATACTGCAGCACTACACAGCTAGTGTTTAGACTGTAAATGGAATGTAATGTGACAGTTTTAAGGCAAACTTAGTGTGGAAAAAATCCAGCCCTCTATACCTATTAGTATTTAGGTGTCAAGTTCAAATGTGATTATGATAAATTTCAGAGTTGCTACAGCATTTTTTTATTACGAAGCTAATAGTCAGTGACTGTTCTTCATAACCAAGGCTAGTGAAAAATACCCCAAGTCACCTGAAGAATTAAGGGGTAAATAGTCTTTCTTTGAACTTTGTCATAAAAGCTAATTTTCCTCAAAATTTAATTGCTTGTTTGTTTGTTTTAAATAAGAGGCACAAAAAGAAAACTGCTGAGTAGGTGTTACTAATGAACTACTGCAGAAGAGGGCAACTAGTTTGTTTTTGAATCCAAGCTGCGGTTTTGAGATCTGATGCTAACTTTAATTGGGCCATTTGTTTGGCAGGGTAGGTAGAGTTTTGAAAACTGAAAACACAAGTGAACCAGACTGCATTTAAGATATTTATTACTTACTAAAATGTAAGGTAGAATGAAAAGCCTCTTAAAATTTTTAGCTTTCAGAGTAAATACATGTTATTGAGGTTCCTCTAGAGGGCAGCCTTTGGATTAATTCACAGCATGATTAAAGTTAGTTTAGCCTTTCCTTTCCTCCCTCCTTTTCGGATTTCCACGCTGGGTATATTCAACATTTGTGATTTTGATTACAGATGTGTGACAGAATGTTAGGTCAACTTGAAACGTATTTCTGGTCTTGGTATGTTTTGAGTCAATATGACGAGATGGGAGATCACATCATTAATACAGTTTACCTCTTAACTGCATTTTAACATTTATGTTCATAAATGTGTCTATAGTCTTCAGTTCAAATAAGCAATAGCATCAGTGCTTCTAGGGCAGCTTTACTGGCCTGTATGCAACTTATTGGAACAAGTGGCATAATGAGAACCAAGAACAACACTACTTTCAATATTGACCTTGATTTTAACTTTTCTTTGAAAGTTGCAGAGCAGTAGTCAGCGATTTCTATTTTAAAACTTTCCTGTTAAAAGGGTTAACAAGAGTAAAGTCCTGTTTAACCTTGTGTGACTAGGCTGGGGTGCAGCAGGCACTGCCAGCTGGGCAAGGGAAGAGATTGTCCCCCTAACTCAGTGCTGTGCGGCCTGAGAGAATCACAGAAACACAGAATCACAGAGCAGCCAGGATTGGAAAGGACCTCAAGAATCATGAATCTCCCATCCTTCTGCCACATGCAGGGCCACCAACCTCCATATCTAATACTAGACCAAGCTGCCCAGGGTCCCATCCAGTCTGGCCTTGAACACCTCCAGGGACGGGGCATCCACAACCTCTCTGGGCAGCCTGTTCCAGTACCTCACCACTCTCTCTGTAAAGAACTTCCCCCTGACATCCAACCTAAATCTCCCCTCCCTCAACTTAAAACCATTTCCCCTTGTCCTGCAGTTATCTACCTTTTCAAAGAGTTGACTCACGTACTGTTTGTAGGCTCCCTTTAGGTACTGAAAGGCTGCAATGAGGTCACCCCGCAGCCTTCTTTTCTCCAGGCTGGACAAGCCCAGCTCCCTCAGCCTATCTTTGCAGGGGAGGTGCTCTGGTCCCCTGATCATCTTTGTGGCCCTCCTCTGGACCCTCTCCAACAGCTCCCTGTCTTTTTTGTACTGGGGGCTCCAGACCTGGACGCAGTATTCCAAATGGGGCCTCACAAGAGCAGAGTAGAAGGGGACAATCACCTCCCTGTCCCTGCTGGCCACCCCTCTTTTGATGGAGCCCAGGATACCATTTGCTTTCCAAGCTGCAAGGGCACACTGCTGGCTCATGTTAAGCTTTTCATCTATCAAAACCCCAGGTCCTTCTTTGCAGGGCTGCTCTCAAGGACCGCTCCTTCCAGTCTGTATGGATGCCTGAGATTCCTCCGGCCCAAGTACAAAACCTTGGACTTTGCTGTGTTGAACCTCATCAGGTTCACCCAAGCCCACCTTTCAAGCCTGTTGAGGTCCCTCTGAATGGCATCCCTTCCTTTCACCATGTCAACTGCACTGCTCAGCTTAGTGTCACCTCACTCAAGTACTTTGTGTACTTTTGGACATCATGGTATAAGAAGAACATAAAGCTGTTAGATAACATCCAGAAGTGGGCTGTGAAGATGGGAAAGGCGTCTGAGAGTCAGCAGAGATCTCTTGGTTTGTTCAGCCCAGCGAACAGAAGGCTGAGAGGAGGCCTCAAGGTGGCCTCCCCCTCTCATGACAGTGACAGGACTGGAGGGAACGGCATGGAGCTGTGTCAGGGAAGGGTTGGATGGGTGTTAGGCAAAGGTTTTTCAGCAGAGGGTGGTCGTGTGCTGGAACAGGCTGCCTAGTGCAGTGGTCTCGGCCACAGGCTGCCAGAGTTCAAGAAACATTTGGACAAGATTTTCAGACACACGGTTTGAATTTTGTGTGGTCTTGAGAGAAGAAAGGGATTCAATTCAGTAAACCTTACAGTTCCCTTCCAGCGTGGGATATACAGTGATTCAACTTAGTTGTTCCCGGGAACTTATTTTGGGAAAGATTCTAACTCTAAAATCTTTCCAATTAATATAAGTGTAATTGCATAATGTTTTGGTTAATATTGTAAAAACTTAGTTAGTGTCAGAAAAATTAAAACCATTACATTGTAGACTTTAAAATTTTTTTACCTCCCATTTTTAGGATCCCTGGAGCTGGATACACCATCTCAGCCTGTGAATAACCATCACGCCCATTCACACACTCCAGTAGAGAGTGAGTATTTGATAGATAAAAGCATATTCACCTTTTAAGATTTATTTGTCATCAAGTACATTTATTATATTTTCCTCCAAATGCTGGAAAAGTTGGGATAATTAAATGGTGATTGTGCCTATTCGGAAAAACTGCGAGAGTGAAATAAAAAGGTTTTACTGATGGCAGTTAGTTGAAAGTGCTATTTTAGTATCTGTCGTTGTTAACAGTTTTACTTTTAAAGTGAAAAGGCTTTTCCATTTAAGTTCACTTCATTTGTTTTTCTTAGAAAGGAAACACAATCCATCGTCTCACCATGGTGCAACAGATCATGTTCCCGAGAAGAAGTTTAAATCCGAAGCTCTTCTGTCTACCCTTACTTCAGATGCCTCTAAAGAAAATACACCAGGTAGTCTTAATTGTTTTACATTTTCTTACTTTTTAACAGAGGGAAGAGAAATCCAATTGTATGTGTGGTTTTAGGTGTTTTTTTTTTGTTTGTTTGTTTTTTTTAATACGTATCAGAGATTCATACACTTCCCTCTGGGATTTTCAGTCATTTTAAAAATGAGAAATTGCACATATTGTTACTCATCTGTGTTGTGCATGAGGCTCATTGGCTTTGTTATCATTCGACAGCTGCGTGTTGGCTGTTTCTTTTTATTTACATGGTTCGGAAGAGGGTAGCAGTATGGTTTTCATTCATCCAGTGGTAGAAATGTAAGAGATCCATGCATTATTTTGAGGAAAAGAAGCCCATGCAGTGATTTCTAAAGTAGGAAAAGAATATTCATTCATCTTATAAGGGTTGCTCTGACCTAGCATTCAGCTATGATCAAATCCTTCTGTGTTGTGTAATATGAGGCCACATAAGAACGCCTTTGATTAGTGAATAAAAACACAGCACAGCTTCCTGTCAGTTTTCAAAATAAGGATGTTTCATAGATTCTTCTCAGAAAGTTGTGAGAGGGTATTAGTAAGTAAAGTACATTGGCAATTTAATGCTGTTCACTAATTTTAAATAGTTTTTTTCATAGTCATTTATCTTTAAGGAGCTTCGCATGAGTTGGCAAACGAAACAGAACTTCGTTTGAACAGCTGTCAAGAAATCTGGTGCATTCAAATTGTGATTTTTAGCTTTTAGTGCTAAGATTGTTAGAAGTGTTATCTTAGGGAAAGTTTAGTTGTACAGTGATATTCTTAATTTCTTCTCAATTGTCACAATAGTCAATATAATTTCAACTGAGGTTGGGCTTATATAGACATAACATCTGTGTTATGACTATATATAGCTGAGTGTGATAGTGAAGACTGCCTTTCTAAAAGGATTCCTTGCACGTGAGGGTAGATGTTTAAGTAGAAAACTATCAGTGTCAAAAAATTTTCTTAGAACTTTTTTCCAAATGATCAGACTACTCTGCATAAATGGAATTCCTAATCTTTCACTGGTTGTCATATATAACTCTTCTTAAAATGCAAAGGAATTTAGTTTCATTTTGAATTTCATGAATGTGTTCTGTTCATCAAGGGTGTCGAAACAATAATTCATCATCCTCTTCAAACAATGCATACAATACAAACTCTTCTCAACCATTGGCATCATATAACCTCGGCTCATTATCTTCAGGATCTGGGGCCGGTGCTATTACCATGGCAGCAGCTCAAGCAGTGCAAGCCACAGCACAGGTAATGTCAAAACATTCTCACATTCTCGTCAGCCTGCCACCCACTAGTGATTAAGAAGGAATACTAGTAATTTTTTGAACACACTATGCTGGTGTGGCGTAGTTCTCATCATTATTGTGTATATGCTACAGTTTCATCTTTTAAAACTTCCATAAAAGGACAACTCATTTTTTACCTTTTCTTGTGGGGTATTCTTACCCATTCTTATCACTTACTATGCATCACTTTATTAAAAGAATAACTGATGAATCTGTGGCAATAATAGCAGCCCGGTATGTCTTAAGTAAGAACTCTACTGTAAAATCTGATGCAATATCAGTATTCTTTTTTAGATGAAGGAAGGAAGAAGAACATCCAGTTTAAAAGCCAGCTACGAAGCATTTAAGAACAATGATTTTCAGCTTGGAAGAGAATTTTCATTGTCTAGAGATTCAACTGGGTATTCATCATCAGCTCTGGCATCTACATTAACACAAACATTAAGTTCGTCAAGCACAGATTCACGAAGTGGCAGAAAAAGCAAGTAGGTTTTTTGTTGACTGCAGTTGACAACTAAACTTTAACTTAAAGGTCATAGGCCATATTAGAAATACTTTGTATTTAATATACATGGGATTATAAAACATGAGTGGAAAGTAATTATTCCATACTGCCTTTTTTGTACAGGACTTTCTTCTTTTCTCCACTGTTTCCTTTTTCCTTACGCAAATCCAATCCAAGGTTTTAAAGAAATATTTTGATTTTTTTTTTTAATCTGTTGTATTGTCTAGTTTCTCTCCTCATTTTTCTCTCTACAGGAGAGAAGACTTGGCCTGAATGTAAATGTTGGAAATACTGTGCAATGCTTTGTAGATGGTTTTGAAGTAGATCTGGAGATTTGCTTCATGCCACTTTATAAATAAGCAGAACGTATTGTGATGTCTGACCATGTAGGATAGGAAGCAGAATGAAATTTACTTCTGATAAAAAAAGATTTTTTTTTATGAGGACTCAAAAGTTTTGTTTGAAGGATTTTGTCCCAGATTGCCTGTATTTTAAACTGACTTGCTCTTTTTTCTTTCTTCGTACATATTTATTTTCATTCACAGCTCACTTAAAAAGTTTGTTTTAGAATCAGTTCTCATCTACATATGCCTTGGGTGTCAGATCTGACCTATAAGAAAAAATATAGAATTTGTATATTGACATTGTTCCAGGGGAGTGATAGCTGATGCTTCAGTGGAGATTAGCATAGAATCAGTCATCTTAACAGTAATCTATTGTACATGACAGTGTAACATTATTAAGTGCAAATGCCTGTTTTATCATTTACATATTCTTAATGGAGGCTTGACACTAGGAGTATCAGTAAGGGAAAAAAAAATTATGAAGTAAAACATTCAGTAAAGCCATTTGACAGTTTAGAGTTGTTTAATTCCATAGATTAGAGTAGCCTGACTGTAAACTGTTAAGACTGATTTCCGAAGAGATTCAGTTTTGCTATCGCAGTTCTTGAATGAAATGTATTAAGGAATGTCACCTCAGGATTTCTATACTATAGTATTTCAGTCAACAAAGAATTGCTTCTACTTGCCAGTAAATGAACTTAAATTATGGTATGGGTTTTTTTTTTCTTTCATTCAGAAACAACAACAAATCCTCAAGTCAGCAGTCGTCGTCATCCTCCTCTTCATCTTCTCTGTCGTCATGTTCTTCCTCATCTGCACTGGCACAAGAATTGTCCCAGCAAACAGCAGTAATACCAGAGTCTGATTCTAATAGCCAGGTTGATTGGACCTATGATCCAAATGAGCCACGTTACTGCATTTGTAATCAGGTAAAAACATTGTTCAACCTGAAATATAACCAGATACACTGTTTCACTGTAGGTGAGCTTCTTGCTGTGATTGCTGGCTTAAAAACAGATGAGAATTTCAATACTGCAAATACAATGTTTTTGTTTCCTTAGTGGTAATATGACAGGACATGGGAAAATGGTTTTAGGTTGAGGGAGGGAAAATTTAGGTTGGATGTCATGGAGAAATTCTTTACCAAGAAAGTGGTGAGGTGCTGGAACAGGCTGCCCAGAGAGCCTGTGGATGCCCCGTCCCTGGAGGTGTTCAAAGCCAGGTTGGATGGGGCCCTGGGCAGCCTGGTCTAGTATTAGATATGGATGTTGGCAGCCCTGCCTGTGGCAGAGGGGTTGGAGCTTGATGATCCTTGAGGTCCTTTCCAACCCAAGCCATTCTTTGATTTTATGAATAATGAACTCAAAGGCCCAAGCGAAAAACAAACCAGTTTTCCTGTGATGTGCCACATCAGGAGAGTTCTAAGTCTCTTACTGGAGAATTTAGGAATAATTAAATTCAAAGTTGAATACGATCACAGTGAATTTACTTAGAATTTTAAGTTAGAATAATACTTTTTCTCTCATACTTTCCTCCTTTTGCAAAATAAATTAGTAATGGAGAAGATGCTATTTTTGTAAAAGGCATCAGAAAATTTAAAGACTGAATGAGAGCATGAGAGCATTTGTTTTTAAAAATGCCTGTTCTGATTTTATAGTTTTAAGTGTTAGATTTTTTTTTTTTTTTTTTTTTAGAGTTTACAGAATTTGTTGGTTCTTTTGAGAGTATTTCATTGTTTATTTCAAATAGTTCTTGAAGTTATCATGTGTGCAAGGGAAATGCTAGACAAAAATACATTTGAAAAGTGGGCTGATGATGTCCAAACCGCAGTGCTCAGTACCAAAATGTACTTAGTTTGAGTTTTGAATGCTAGATTTTTTTATCCAACCTGGAACATACATGTGAACACAACTATAGAACAACAAAAAAATGTATTGTTGCCACTGCTGATGCAAGAACTTCTTAATGTGAAAGAAAAAAAAAGAAAAAGAAACAAAAACCTTGAATTCCATCCCTTTGAAAATTTTGTTTTTATTAATAAGGTTGTTTTTTTTTTTTTCCTTCTTTTTTAATAGGTGTCCTATGGTGAGATGGTAGGCTGTGATAACCAAGATGTAAGTAATAAAGTTCAGAATGTTCATAAGAGAAGCCTTGTGCATGTAACTATTGCTTACAGGAGTTACTTTTCTGTAGTGCTTCTTACTTTTTCAGTTTTAGTAAAAACAGAGACAAGTATACCTCTTTGTTTTTTACATATACACAACAAAAAAGTAATTATTTTTCCTTTTCCATTCAAATCCCCTATCGCACTTCAGACTTAAACTTACAGGATGCGTGGAACAAGCAGAGATAAAAGAAAATGTTTTTAATATTAATCTTTCCAGTCACGTAGGAGTTCCATGTATTTCTCCTTGCTTAATCACAATAAGGTTACATAATACTGTGTGTAACAAGAGTATTCAGAAACTGCAAACCTTGCTGTTAAGAACTTTTAGGTGTGTGTGGGGGTTCCATTCTAAACAAAACTGCCCCTTGCTAATTTCTTTGTGCTTGAAAGGTCTTTTTTTTTTTTGCTTAGGTAAAAATCCTAGGCAAAAATTAAAAATTGAAATTGCATTAAGCAAACTTGCATATTTCATCCCTGATCATTGTCTTAAACATTGTAAATACATACTTACAATTTTCTTTTTCTCTATGAGTGGCTGCAAATTTAAAAAGATACATTCTGACCTTGAAAATTTCTTTTAGTATTGAGAATGTACCACTTAGGATTCTGATATTCACAGATTTCACTTTTACTGCTTTGAATTTTTTGTTCTTATTTCATCTTTCATGATTTGTGATGAGACTGAAGGAATCATGCAGAAAATCAGTCAAAGAGTAAAGAAGAGAAAGCAAGAAGTTTCCAGTTGACAAATAGTAGTAGTGCCAAGATCATAGAAAATTTCATGGAAAACTTCCAACAGAAGTAGAACTTAAAATATTTGTGTGAGAAGTACGATGTGAATTAATATGCACATGAGTTGAAGCATTCTTCGAGAAACTTCTCCTCATCTGCCCACAGTTCACATTCTCTTAGAAGTCATCTCTTTCCTTAGGAAGTTTGACATACTTGAAATACCCTTTATTTCTGCAAACATCTAGCTATGTCAGTATTAAACCCAATTGTCTGATTCAAATACTGCAAGTTTTAAGAGAGCAAGTGAATGTAATTATGCATTCAGTCCAAAGTGAGTGATTAAGATTACTGTTGTGTCACATGAAGTATTGTCAAGCTAAATTTATCATTAGCACAGTATACTTATTTTGTTTTCTATATAAATGAGTCAGTATATGACTCGTAGAACTTTTGTGGCTTTCCTTATTCTGTTGGGTGTATGGGTATGGATTTCTCCTCTTTTTTCATTTTATCCTATTATTTGCTTGGTATGAAAGGCAGAACCTACACTTTCTACTTGCGCTTCTTTTCATAGAATTGTCTGTAATCACAATTTAAGAAAAAAAGGAAAATCCCAAACCCTCTCTAAACTCTATTTTTATAGTGTCCCATTGAATGGTTCCATTATGGATGTGTTGGACTGACAGAAGCACCAAAAGGGAAATGGTACTGTCCACAGTGTACAGCTGCAATGAAGAGGAGAGGCAGCAGACATAAATAAATATCTTCATCTGGAAAACAAATTGCATACTAAAGGTTTTATGGGGGACTTACATGGGGGGAGGATCCCCCCCACACTTCCTTGCAACCACTCAAAGAAGGGTTAACATAGCAGTCATAAGATCTTGAACTATTGGTTGGTTTTGCTGGTTGTGTTTTAATATTGTTTGTAAGCTGTTTATGCACATTGATGTGCTGCAGATACTATTCCAGCAAGCCTTGGATTGTTCCAGTGGCCAACATATGCAGACATTTGTACTGTCAAACCATTTTCTCTAAGCAGTGGGCATTCTACAATTATTCAGTCTTCAGAAAATTCTGATAAGTCAAGATTTTAAATGTATGTTTTATATTCAACAGATATACTCTGCTGCATGTACTGTATTCAAGAGCTGTTATGTAACACTATGTATATAAATGGTGCAAAAAGTCAGTGCTTCTTAAAAAAAAAAAAAAGACGATGATTTTTAAAATGCCTTTATAGCTTTGGTTCTTTATGAAAATTAATTCAGCAGGCTGAAGAAAATGGTTCTTGTATACAGCGGGCTGTTGTCCTCTAGGGTACTTGAGTATGTAAAAACAAAACAAAAAAAAGCTGTAGAATAAAAGAAACTTGTGCCATTAGTCTATGTTTCTGCTCCAGACAAGGTGCAGACCATAAGAAGAAAGAAAAAGGTGTTAAAGTGATGATAAATTTTTATACCAAATGTGTTTATTTTTTTGTGCAAGTAATCCTTTAAATTTGAATTGTATTAGGTGTTAAAATAAAACAACCTCAACTCCTTGGTTTGATGTTTTCTGCACATCTGTGAAAAAAGAGAGGTTTGTTCATCTCATAGCTTCTGAAGAAAAGTTTCCATGAGAAATTCCTGCCATATTCCTTCTTGAATTGTAGCTTTCATGTAAAAGTTAACACGTGGATCAGGAAAGATGTAGAAGGATAAATAGTTCATCCACCTGTGGAGGCCCTGGAGGTACCTAACAGGGACAGTCATGTTAGGGAGCTTAAAGGGAGGCCAATACATGTGCAGATCCTTTAAGACCTGGTAAATCAGACTGCACATGCTGTAACATAGAATTAGAAATCTTGATTTTTAGATGAGAGCCCCTTAAAAGGTACTTCCCTTGGCTATGAGTATAATGGAAACTTTTTTTTTCTTCCAGCTTGTTTATTTTGGATGTAGTTTGTAGATTTCCTTTCACAGAAAGTTTTCTTGTGTGTGTTTCCGTATGGCTTTTTGGTATGGCAGCAGCACTGAACAGAAACAAGAATATTACTCCTTTTTTTCCTCCTTCCTTCTACCACTAAAAAAAAAAAAACAAAAAAAAACCAAAAAAAAAACACCTTTCCATTTGAAGTGAAGATTTAATTGTAGAATTGGAATTCTCTTTGAGCTGTCTGCATGCTTTCCATGGACCTTCATAGTAGCTTTCCTTGAAACATTTCCAAATGTAGTCTTGCACCAAAACACTCATCAAGGAAATAATGAGTTAGACTTACTCCTAGTATGAGTATGTACAGAAAGTGCAGGCTTAAACTAAAATGGAACCAGACTTCTATTACAACATTTATGGATGCCCCATCCCTGGAGGCATTCAAGGCCAGGCTGGATGTGGCTCTGGGCAGCCTGATCTGGTGGTTGGCAACCCTGCACATAGCAGGGGGGTTGAAACTAGATCATCATTGTGGTCCTTTTCAATCCAGGCCATTCCATTATTTATTCTAAAAAAAGAAATTGGTTATTTTAAGACCTTATACTGAGGAAAAATAGATGAAAAGAAAACATGACTGGTGAAATATAATAGAAGTTGATTAAAAAAAGAAAAAAGCAAAGGGCAGCATAATTAAGATTCGATTAAAAGTGGGGATTAGCTCACTGTGTGTGTGTTTCTGTAGACATCTCAGCTAAAATATATATATATATACTTAAGGACTTGTATGTCTGGTTTTGAGGGAGGCTATTGAGACCACGGAGATAAGAGAAACTATTTATTCTGTTGGAAACTGGTGCTGATCTGTGAGTGGAAGTTAAATAGGCAATAGGTAATCTGGACTCCCCTTGGACTGAAGGACTCAGTCTCTTGAACCAAGGACTGAATGTAATAAGAATTTGGGTATTCTGTAACAAGTCTCTTCACTGACGGTGATGATATTTAAGACAGTGCACGGACTGCAAATCTAAAAAAATAAGAAAATAAAAAAAAAATCAGTTTTTAGCAAAGCAATTTACTAAAAAAACCTTCATCCTCATTAGTATCTAAGAAAATAGGGAAAGACAAAAGTGCAAAACAATGCAGTGTGCAAGGTAAACACGCAGAACAGTCAAACCTGTTGTAACATTTGGACAGTTCAGTACAATGGGAAATGCATTACCACAAAGGTGTGATGATGGAAGGACTAGCACAATACAGAGGTGCAATACAGGAAGGGAAGAAAATTGCTCAGCTGTATCAGAAGATTTAGAAGGTTTACAGAGGAAAGGACTACCAAGGAGGGATCTCCAGGAACAAGTCCTCCCCTACTACCAGTCAGCCCTTAAATGAGGTGTAGGAGAAGTGCAGCCAGGCTCCACCCCTTCTGGTCTCACAGGTGAATTGCCTTCACCTGTGCTCCCAGGGCTGACCCAGTCCTTTCCCCAGGTGCTCAATCAGTGCTTCAGGCTGTGACTCAACAGTTCCAATATACTTGTATATATATACGCTTTTTGTTTTCTTCTATGCAGGGAGCTTGTTAGAAGCTAATGGGTCAGTGGGTGGTTAAAGTGCAAAAAAGAACTGAATTTTTACAAGATTGCAATAGGCAAGCTAAATTATTTCTTCACCATGCGGGAGGTTAGACGGATTTGAATACTGGGGTCTTTGCTGCAGGATGCTTGAACGTTGCTCTTAAAATAAGGTACCTGTAGAAGTGAGTCTGCAACATACTGCAAACATTCATGGGAGTCCTATAAAGACTCATGTAGGGAGTATCTGAGCTGCTGTTACTGCATTTGAAAAATACCAAAAGGGCTGACAAGTGATAAAAATTAAGCTTCAAGTTGGATTTACAGACCTAGTCCTCAGTTCCTTGTGCACTGGTAAAAATTAGAATTAGTGCATGAGTGAGTAAATACATATTGGCAGAGTTGTTACCTCGTGTTCATTAGTTGTGGGAAAGCTTCTCTTAGTAGAAGGCAGCCAGCTTGATGCAGTTTCCATTAAGGCTGTTACACAGGGTGTTTCATTAATGCAGTAAGTGAGGAGAGGAGGTCTCTTAACATTACAAAATGTGCAAAATAGAATAAAGAGTAAAGAAGTTGCCAACATTGCCAATAAGGGGAGGCTGCTAAGGGAGTCCTGTGGGTCTCTGCTACTCAGTGGTTATGTAAAAGATAGTTAAAGAAGGGTAAATAGTGACAAAATGTTTGCACTTGTGTTGAGTTCTCAAAACAATAAGTAGCAAAACAATCTCATGATACTTTATCTCATCAAACAGGAGATGCAATTCAATGTTTGTTAATTCAATGTGAAATAAGATTAAAATAACACTTAATTCTCTGCTTATCTACATCTGCATCCTCTGAATTAGCTATCACCGAGTGGGAAAATAAATGATTTAGGAATTACCTATTGAATTCTGTGGGAACATTGTTTCTCTGCTCAGCAGCAGGTCAGACAGGTGCTAAGGATGACTTAGTAGGAAATAAAGAATGAAACAGAGGAGAGTTCTACGCTGTGTAAATTGATGGCACCGTTAGGTTTTACTGTAGTGTAAAATTCTGATCCACCCTTCCACAAAAATGTAGTAAAATGGGGAAAGTCTCACATAGGAGGATGAAAGTACATTTGAGAAACAGCTGAGTTAGTTGGGGCTTCTGTCTGGAAAAGAGGCAGCTTAGTAAAGATAAAACGTGTCTGTAAGTTCATGAGTTCTGTGGAAAAGGTTTGTCTTTTGATAGGAGTAGCAAGCAGGTAGTCCAGGATGAAGAAAAAGAGCAGCTTTTTTGCACTTACTGCGTGCTTACATTGTAAAACTTGCCATATAGCTTACAAGAGTGTAAAATGTGACTTAAAAACTAGCTGAAGCAAAATCAGCAAAGGCATAAAATGCAGAAGTTATACATCTGAAACAAAAACTCACTAAAGACTGATCACTGGAAATTACGTATAGCGAGGGAATTGTTCCTGTATGGCTGTGATAGTCCTACTGGCCAGAAGAGACAGGCCAAAGCGAGTGTACCTCCTTTGGTAAATGTAAAAGGAGAACTGGCTTCAACGGACGAAGAGAAGGCTGAGGTACTGAATGAGTTCTTTGCCTCGGTCTTCACTGACGGCCAGGATTCCAGTACTTCTCACATCACTGAGTCCTGCATCCCTAAACCTCTGGATGGAGACTGGGGCGGTAAATCCCCTCCCACTGTGAGGACAGAGCAGGTCCGAGACCGCCTCATGAGACTGAACGCGTACAAGTCCATGGGGCCGGATGGCGTGCATCCCAGGGTTCTGAAGGAGCTGGCTGAGCTGGTTGCCGAGGAGCTCTCCATCATATTTGAAAAGTCGTGGCTGTCAGGTGAGATCCCAGATGACTGGAGGAAGGGTCACTTCACTTCCATTTATAAGAAAGGAAGCAAGAAGGACCCCGGGAACTACAGGCCGGTGAGTCTCACCTCTGTGCCTGGGAAGATCATGGAACAGATCCTCTTAGACGACATGCTTGATCACATGAGGAATGAGTGTGTGATCCGAGACAGCCAGCATGGCTTCACCAGGGGAACGTCATGCTTGACCAATCTGGTGGCCTTTTATGATGGAGTAACGGCATTGGCGGACAAGGGAAAGGTGACTGATGTCATTTACATGGACCTAAGCAAGGCCTTTGATGTCGTCCCCCACCACATCCTTATCTCCAAATTGGAGGGATGCGGATTTGATGGGTAGACCACTTGATGGATAAGAAACTGGTTGAAAATTGAAAGACATCGAGTCATCAATGGCTCTATGTCCAGGTGGAGGCTGATAACAAGTGGCGTCCCCCAGGGGTCTGTCTTGGAACCAGTGCTCTTTAACATCTTTATCAATGACATTGATGATGGAATTGAATGCACCCTCAGCATGTTGCTGATGACACCAAGCTGAGCAGTACAGTTGACATGGAGGAAGGAAGGGATGCCATTCAGAGGGACCTCAACAGGCTTGAAAGGTGGGCTTGGGTGAACCTGATGAGGTTCAACACAGCGAAGTCCAAGGTTTTGCACTTGGGCCGGAGGAATCCCAGGCATCCCTACAGACTGGAAGGAGCGGTCCTTGAGAGCAGCCCTGCAAAGAAGGACCTGGGAGTCTTGATAGATGAAAAGCTTAACATGAGCCAGCAGTGTCCCTTGCAGCTTGGAAAGCAAATGGTATCCTGGGCTCCATCAAAAGAGGGGTGGCCAGGAGGGACAGGGAGGTGATTGTCCCCTTCTACTCTGCTCTTGTGAGGCCCCATTTGGAATACTGCGTCCAGGTCTGGAGCCCCCAGTACAAGAAAGACAGGGAGCTGTTGGAGAGGGTCCAGAGGAGGGCCACAAACATGATCAGGGGACCAGAGCACCTCCCCTGCAAAGATAGGCTGAGGGAGCTGGGCTTGTCCAGCCTGGAGAAAAGAAGGCTGCGGGGTGACCTCATTGCAGCCTTTCAGTACCTAAAAGGAGCCGACAAACAGGAGGGGAATCAACTCTATGAAAGAGTAGATAACTGCAAGACAAGGGGAAATGGTTTGAAGTTGAGGGAGGGGAGATTTAGGTTGGATACCAGGGGGAAGTTCT